CAACTTAAAATATATTTCCATGCTTTAGCTAAGGTGGAGTCTCTGAATTGGGATGTCCCCAAATTGCCATGGGACCTTCTAAAATCAGAAGCAAGAACATCAGGAACTTATTGAACCTCATCTGCCTAATATAAGGAAAAACTCATTACTGGTTACTGGTCTATATTTATTACCTTGGACTAACAATCAAACTGTTCAGAACTAAAGTGGAAGATGAAGACTGGTATTATGTCAAATAATCGTAACCAGATTCTGAATTAAAAGTACCACACCCCTAATGTATCAAGTCAAAAAATAAAGAGAGGAGGTGGGGCTTTTTCAGTACAAAGTGACAGAAACCAAAAATTACCACATGATAAAACAAAAGTATTTTATTATACACAGGTTCAAACATTTTAAAAACATAATTGATATGTTCACATTACAAAACAGAAAAATAAAAACAGATTGATCTCCAAATAACCATTCCAGAGTTATAATGTGAGGCTAGATAGCCATGACAAACATAATTGGTATATCATGTTCCCGTATAGAAATGGTAATTTTTGGTCTCTGTCACTTGCTACCGAAAAAGCCCCATCTCCTCTCTTTTTATTTTTTGACATGAAGACTGGTCCCTTTTGGGGGTTAAAGATTAGTGATGGGCCAAACACCCCCGTGTTCGGTTCGTATTCAAACAGTCGAACGGCCGAAATGTTCGAATACGAACTCGAACTTAATGCAAGTCAATGAGGGTCGAACGTTCGAAAATGAATGTCCCCTTTAAGAGGGCTAATATGCAAGTTATTGGCCATAAAAGGTGTAGGGGGTCCGGGTACTGCCCTGGGGGAAAGGAATCAATGACAAAAAAACAAAAAAACTTTTTTTAAAGGAGCAGTGATTTTAACATGAATTAAAAGGGTAAGAATAAAAATGAAAAATTCATTCAAATATCATGCCTGGGGGGTCCCCTTAACCTGCCTGTGAAGTGGTGGATCTGTACGATGTATAGAACCTGCTGCAGCAAAACTGACATTTCTAAAAAAAAAGTGAATTTTTTTTTTTTATACTCTTAAAGTGTGCAGTTCCCCCTCCCAAACAATACCAGACCTTTAGGTCTGGTAGAAATGTAAAGAGGGACACATTTAAAAAAAACAAAAACTGTGTAGGGTTCCCCTAAAAGTCATACCAGGCCCTTAGGGTCTGGTAGGAATATTTAGGAGGGACCCCATATACAAAAAAAAGTGATTTTCTTGTATAAACTGTTCAATGGTGACAGCAACATTATTAACAAACTCTTTTACGGTTAACTCCGTAACAAAGACCACGGGACACCACCAAAAATTTATGGAAAAAAATGTCAACACACGGGGCGCAAGGGTTTCTTCACAGTTAGAGCGGTTAAGGTCTGGAACTCACTGCCGCAGGAAGTGACTTCAGCTAAGAGTGTGGAATAATTCAAGAAACTCTTGGACGAGTTCCTCTGAGACCGTTACATACAGGGGTACAAGTACTCCTAAGAGCAAAATCACACATGGACTCATACACACGCACACACCAGCTCAAACATAAATGCATACATGCAATGGGTTGAACTTGATGGACTTATGTCTTTATTCAACCTCAAATACTATGTAACTATGTAACCACATGTTAATGCATAGCATAACACACATTAATACATGTGTGTTATATGTAACGCACACATGTAAATGGGACCTATATAAAAGGTAACCAAACCTTTAATGGCTACTATCTTTGCCACCTTATACTACTGCTCAGAGCCACTAGACAAGTAAAGCATAGGAAGGGGGCTGCTCCAAAATTCTGTTCTAACCTAAAACCTAGCATGGTCATAGATTGTCTGATGATTAGAGGTGATGCTCCTGATTTTTAGTCATTTTTCAGTTCATTTATAATCTTCTGGGAGGAAAAAAACAAATGCATTTTGTGTTTGGAAAGTTTGAAAATCTTCCTATAAGTATGTTTATTAATTTCCTCTCTCCATAGAGGGTAGATATATAAGCAAATATAATGTATATCCATTTCCTTTAAGTAGTTTGTAATTGTTAAATAAACATTTTCCAGAATTAGAAATATCATATATACTGTAAATATGGCACATATGACTACATACATGAATAAATGTATGACACTTTTCTGATTTCAGGAAGAAAAACCTTACAGATAAATCTATAATTTGCTTCTTTGTGCTTATCTGTTGCAGGAAGACACTGTAAAAAAGAAAACCTGTTGCATGTTCTACCACAACTTCCTTTTTTACACAGTTATTGGGGGATGGTGTACACAATATAGTTCTCATGTTCACTTCACCTTCTCATACAGCGCATGTCTAATTTAAAGTATTTAACAAAGATGTGGAGATTATGCAATTTGCGGAACTGTATAATGTGCAATGCACTCGGCTGTGCCCTGCTGGCACTGTAACTGACATTACAAGGGAGCAGGCAGGGACAGGAAAGTTGGGCATTAAAGGTTGAGAAATTCCGCAGACATAAAGTGTTTGTCACTTTTTGTGGAGCCAAATTTGAGACCCCCACACTTTGTTTGCTATCTATTGCTATTCATACAGCATGCCTAAAAATAATTTTAAAATATTTCTGTTTCTATGGAGAAGGTTTATACATTGGGCTCTACAAGCATCTTGAATTTTTAGAATAACTTGCTAAACAATACACTATAGGGACACTTTTTTAAAATTGCATACAATGTACCACCCAGGCATGAATATCTTTAACCCTTTGTTAGGACAGAAAATGTGCACATTTTTGGTATTAGGATTTGCCAGCAGAGTACATACATGATTACTTATGGTAAACATGACTCTTGACCCAGCCCTCTCCTATAGAAAGGGAGTAAGATTTTATGGGATTTTTCAGCACATTTTTAGTTTTAAACCTTTTTTTTTTAGTTATACTATGTGAACGGGAACATGTAACAAATATATAGTAGGTGTTATCCCAATTTGGCTGCAAAAGTGGAAATACAGGGGGTTATTCACTAAAGATCCAAAGGATGCAACCGTAGCTTCGGCTGATCCTTTGGCTCTCTTCAGCCGCCTCTGCCCTCAGTTTAGTCGAACCGAATGGCTGCTGTACGGGCTATCCACAATATTCACAATAGCCCGTACAGCAGCCGAAGGCAGCCGAGCGACTCAGCAGAGTCGAAGGAAATATGCTTCGGCTCGACTGAGCCAAAGTGACAGCCGAAAAGTGGAGAACCGTCGTCCGAAGCCGACCGATCTCCACGCAAATGCCACCTGGGCGGAGCCAGCCGTGATCTCATGTTCGGCGGACCGAAGGCAGCTGATGTACGGCTGAAATCAGCCGTACTGAGCTGGAGTAAATAGCCGAATGTCTTTCTGCTCACTTCACTTCGGCTGGGTTATTCACTCGGCTGCCTTCGGCTTTTTCAAAGCACCTGCGAGTCCAGGTAGTAGGGAAAGGCATGTGAACAATATTTTAGAAATCTCACTTATAAATGCATGTGTGGGGTTGATAGGAAATGCTGCTTTACATTACATTACATTACATATTTTTACATTCCCAAAATAAGTGTGTAGAAAAATTTTAGTTCAGAAATTACAATTGATTAATTAATTAAGGGTATACAAGTGATGGTGTTGCCAATGGCAACATTAACAATAATCTAGTGCAAGCTGAAATCTTTTAGCAGATATTAAGGGCCAATTCACACCAGATGTGTTGGGGTTGCGCTGGCCATTTTTTCCAATGCTGCTCCAACGCAAGACAAGTAAATTTGCCTTGTCATGGATGGACACCATTCACACCACTGTGTCGCATGCTGTACTTTTCAGTGCAGCGGGATGAAATGCAGAGCAACCACCTTGCACCCTGCTGTGCCCGTAGAACTGAATTAAATATCACTTGTGAGTTGTGACATTTCAATAAAGTTCTAAAAAAAACAAATTGGGATCAGCGCATCAGCATTGTGTTGGACATTGAAAAAAAATTCACAGCAGCTTGTGTAAGTTTGCCCTAACACTAATATACTGTTCATGTGTTCATTCACGCTAAAATACATGCCTTATTTTATGCTTTACCCAAAATCAATTACATTGAATTCCAAAAGATCAACACAGCAAACAATCAAACCATTAGTTTTCTTATCTACTGCAATGTAGCACATTGGTGTTAATAATCCTGATTTTGTTCAGATGTACAGGTGAAACTCGAATAATTAGAATATCGTGCAAAGTTCATTTATTTCACTAATGCAACTTATGCGGTGAAACTAATATATGAGAGAGACTCATTACATGCAAAGCAAGATAATTCAAGCCGTGATTTGTCATCATTGTGATGATTGTGGCTTACAGCTCATGAAAACCCCAAGAACCCCAAATCCACAACCTCAGAAAAGTAGATTATTACATGCAATCAATAAAACAAGGATTGTACATAGAACAATATCGGACCTCTGAAAAGTACAAGCATGCGTATGTACTCAGTACTTGGTTTGGGCCCTTTTTGCAGCACTTACTGCCATTACTTTTGCACGATATTCTAATTATTCGAGTTTCACCTGTAAATGCATTCTGATAATGTTAGAAAACATAAAAACATAAACAAGTGCTAAGTATCAAGTGTGAACAAGTCTTCACTGCTCCGTATAATTTTACATCAGCATCCCTTCTAGGTAAAAAAAAAAAAAGTAACAAAAAAACTATCTAACCCATTTGAGTCACAATGTTCTGAAGAAATCAACGTGACATATTCCTAGTTTTATTCCTCATTTTATTCTTCTGCATGATTACAGTCATATTATCCCAGTGCAGAGACAGACTAAAATATATTACAAACCACAAACTGTGCCAGTGTTTGATTTGGAGTCTTATTCACATGTTCATACTGCCATCTCAGAATGCTGGCTCTCAACACATAGTGGACACGTGAAAGATAACTGACTCACATTCTAAAATACAGTGTCACAAATGTTATTGTAGGGTTACTATTAAAAAAAATAGAACTGCTGCTTACTTTATCTCTTCGTAACAGTGATGTGGTGTTCAAGCCCCTGTGCTTCCAAGCTTCCTTCTGCTGGTCATTATTTTCTTGTCAGATGTTTAAACTACATGATTTTATTTCCCCATATGTCTTCCTATGCTTATTGAACACAGATACTTAGCTTTATGAGGTCAGAGGAAGCATGCTTCTAGGGAAGTATAATTCCTTGTACTAAAACACTGATGCTTAAGTAACCAGCAGTTCTTAATTCCAAAGAAGTTTTCTGGAAGAATGATTCATAACAACTGTTCTCTTTGCCAAAAGACTGGATCTGAGGCAGGGAGTTACTGAGCAATCCAGCTGTGCAAAACAATTTTATAAATATTAAAAGCCAACACCGCCCACGGTCACAGTGCTTCTAAAACGTCAAGTCAAAACCATTAGACCAAACTTCTGAAACAGCTGTGTATACCAGGCAGGCAGCCAGCCTCAGTCGCCGGATGTAGTATATATAGACAGTGCATGTGATACCTAGTAGACCCTGTGTCGACTGCACTTTTTCCCAGCAGCAATCGCCATATGAAGTTGGAGGAGGAAACTGCAGGTGGCCGCCAACAGACCGATCACTGAAGCAGATTCTTCTCCCCTCGGCCACTCTGTGGCTGCAGCCGCTGAGTAGGAGAAGAATGTGTACAGCTGTCACTACTGTGTGCCGGCTTCAGTGATCGAGAGCGGCAATCACTCTTCTCGGCTCTCTCCTCCCGAGAAGAGTGATCACCGCTACGGTGGCCGGTCCCCCTCTGCCAACAATCCCCGGGACAGACCTCAGTGGGCCCCTACAACCACCTTGGGCCCTGGGGCGGCCGCACCGGCGGTAGGTCCACCCCTGTACTGTATATTATAACCTGTTCTTTGTAGAGCTTTAATTCTCCTCCACAGTAGTGTATATTAATGAAACCTGTGCTTGGTAGGTCTTTTATGCTGCCTCCACAGTATCACATGCTTACATTTCTTTTGCTCCTATACTGTTCTGTTCAGTCAATATAGTGCTTGCAGCATTTTGATTGCACCACTCTGGACCGGACCACACTCTACAATGTGCCTTGCGATCCCGTGCAGGCGGTCGCATTGCTTCCAGAGGGCGTGGCTACAGTGCCATTCACTTCAATGGCTCGCCACACCCCCTCCTGCCCCACAAAAAAGTGAGCCGGCCGTAATGCGATGCAGTGTGTTCCGGCCAGAATTGGACCGAAACGCACTGCATCTGGTGTGATCGTACCCTTAGTGGCTGAATGGACCAGGGCAATTAAAAGGAAGTTAAATATGTGCTCCTGGGGAGGTCAGCATTAAACAAACAGGTTCACATAATGATACTAATATAGAATATTAACAAATATAGAGTAAGGTTACCATTAAGGTGGCCATACACCTTACAACCATTGTACAACTTTTTTGTGCAGACATCTCACTCTCGTTCAATTCTCTTAAAACTAGCCCATCAGCACCACCACCTGGCCAATTTTCATTGATTGTAAGGACAGGTTTTTGTTTGAGCAGGTGCAGTTTGCATGTTGAGATTTGTGTTGTACAACAACGCCATTAACCTGTCAATTTTAGTCCAACAAGACAAACGTTTTCTAGCCTGCTTGAAAGACAAAAATCTGCCAGTTGTACAGTAATTGAGGTTGTACACTCCCCATCAACTGGCAGATTTTGGGAGGAAAACGCAATGGCAGAAAAAAGTCTCCAGAAAATTGTAAGGTGTATGGGCACCTTTAGTCCGTTTTCCAGGGACAGTCCCCGTTTTAAGAGGTCTGTTCCCAGGAAACAAACAGCAGCGTCCATGGCAGCATTGAATTGCAGTCACATACTGTACATACTGTGCATACTCTGCAGCCCCCCCAGTCACATCTCCGCAGCCCCCCTTCTTCAATCACATCTACAGAAGCGCGATGCCTCACACCGGCCTCAGCCTGGGGGGGCCCAGCACAGTCCCTGTGCATAGATGGTGGGACTTACCGGCCCGGAGGATTACTAGGGAAAAGTGTAAAGCACACCTGACCTGTACTCTCTGTATGCTGGGAGCGCAGCAGTCAGGAGTGTGCAACATACGGCACAACATACAGAGTGCAGTAGTCAGGATGATGTAACATTACATTATTATTATTACATTATTATTACATTATTATTATTATTATTATTATTACATTATTATTGATGTACATTACATTATTTTGACCGCCATACTCTGTATTCTGTACTCTATGGAACACGCTATTTACTGTATATTTCATACTTAGAGCCGCTGTACTATTATATATTCTTGACCATTGCAATCTACAGTATATGCGGATAGTAATGAAATACTACTGATCAAAGTGTTCATTGTCTTAACAATTTCTGCTTGCTACGTAGTCCCTATTATAATGAAGTTCTCCTTTAAGGTAGACTTAGAAAAAGTTTTACATATATTCTGTGTGCAAAAAAGCATATGTAATGGAAAAGTTTTAGTTTTCAAAAATAATTGCGCTGCAGTTTATATGTGTCTGTAAAACAGATGAAGCTTTTTTTTTTTAATCTAGATGTGTTTATTAAAACAAGCATACACATATACTGTACACTTCATGGAATAAGTTCCATGGCCGAGCAGCTGCATCCAATCCTTACATCACTAAGTGCAATGCAAAGTGTCGGATGCAGTGGTGTAAAGTTTGCCGCCACTAGACTCTAGAGAAGTGGAGATGTGTTCTCTGGAGTGACGAATCACGCATCTCTATCTGGCAATCCAATGAACGTGTCTGGGCTTGGCAGATGCCAGGAAAACAGTAATTGTCTGACTGCATTGTGCCAAGTGTAAAGTTTGGTGGAGGAGGGATTATGGAGTGGGCTTGTTTTTCAGGGGTTGGGCTTGGCCCCTTAGTTACAGTGACAGGAACTCTTAAGGCATCAACATATCAAGACATTTTGGACAATTTCATGCTCCCAACTTTGTTTGGAACAGTTTGGGGATGGCCCCTTCCTGTTCCAACATGACTGCACACCAGTGCACAAAGCAAGGTCCATAAAGACATGGATGAGCAAGTTTGGGGTGGAGGAACTTGACTGGCCTACACAGAGTCCTGACCTTAACCCGATAGAACACCTTTGGTGTGAATTAGTGCGGAGACTGCGAGCCAGGTCTTCTCGTCCAACATCAGTACCTGACCTCACAAATGCGGTTCTGGAAGAATGGTCAAACATTCCCATAGACACACTCCTAAACCTTGTGAACAGCCTTCCGAGAAGAGTTGAAGCTGTTATAGCTGCAAACCCTACAGACTAAGACTGGGATGCCATTAAATTTAATGTGTGTGTAAAGGCAGGTGTCCCAATACTTTTGGCAATATAGTGTATGTGTGCTATTTCTTTTTAGTAGTTAATTTTTCCTTTATTTTAAGCTATGCAAAATGTATAGGAATCCAACAGTTTTGGGTATCTTCCAGCTCCCTCCGCAGCTGCCATGGCTCATGCTGACAGTGTTTAAGCCGTTTGCTGATGGTATACATTTATAAAAGTGTTTTAATCTTATGGCCCTGACAGCTCCAGAGAAAGAGACAGGATGAAAAAAATGTATTCAATTATAATATTGGCAAGTGGGTCCTGCTTTCAGCCTCTGCAGTGTGTGTGTGTGTGTGTGTGTGTGTGTGTGTGTGTGTGTCTAGATTGTTCACTTCTCCTGCCTTCTCTAAACTCATTACTCATTAGTGAATAACCCTGATAATCTGGTGCAGTTGTGCACAGCAACCGATCAGCTTCTCTCTTTCATTTTCAAATCTTAACTGAACAAACTGAAAAGAGAAGCTGATTGGTTGCCCTGGGCAACTGCTCCATATTTTGTTTTCTCCAGTTTTGATAAATTCCCCCCAATGTATTTAGATAATGGGCATGCCCTCAGTTATACAGACCATTAAGAATTTATATGCCAAAAATTAGGGATGCACCGATACCAAGTACCGTACTCGGTACAAGAACAAGAACATGTACCGATACTTTTCGAGCTCCAAGACTAGACTAGAGAAAAATTCAAAAGTTAAGAGGCAGCTGTCATTTGTAAGGAGCACACGGAGCATCTGGGATTTATAAATCTTTGTTTTAATGTATGATTTTGTTTTTATAAATATAGATGCAGGGATGCACCGATACCATTTTAGCAAGTACTGATGCTTGCCCGAGTACTTACAAGTACTGATACATTTTTGTTTATTGTCATGTGACAGTTTTCCTAAAACAAATGTCAAGTATCGTCACTGGTACTCGAAAAGTATCGGTGCATCCCTACCAAAACTGATTGGTTAAACCCCAAATTATTTTATTTTCATCATTCCTTCTCCTTTACACTGTCTTTTGGAAATAGTAAACAAAATAATTGAGATAAGATAAAGGTTCTAGTGCAGAGCAGGGCAGCCGTCAGAAATTTTGGGGCCCCTTGCACGGCTTTAGGCCCCCCCCCCCCCCC